ATCTGGAAAAAATAATGGTGCACCTATAGGTGTGGATTCGAAATCAAATTCCAAATTTCTTCAGTTCAAACGGTTGACGCAAACCTTGTTTCGCTTGTCTCAGTACGTAATGCGAGTTGTTGAGAATTTTAAGTGGGGTATTGACATGTCTACATCTTTTAATATTTTTCTTCCACCAAGCAACCACTCAAAAAAGCAACCTTTATAATTGGAACAGACTACCTTACTGCTCGGTTAGGTGGGAATTTTTTTTTTTTTGAAAATAGGCAATGATACGTGGGATTTCTGACAATTTGTTACTTGTCTATTGACTAGTCAGCGCCACGTTAAACGATTTTCCATTGATTAGCAAATTTTTTTTCGTGTGTCAACATCTCATAAACTTGTTACAAGAGCTCAATTTGCTCCTCCTTTTTTCGACTAAAAAAATCATATCGCTTGCTGACCAGCTTTCTTCTGGTTTTTTTCCTAATCTATGTGTACTGTACCATTTAAGTCCACTGAGTTTGTCTCTATATATATTCTTTAAAAAAAAAATTCATGCCCTTTTGTTTTTTTGTTAACTTTATATAGTTATATAGTCTAATTTATGAGAAAGTAATTTCTTTTTTTTGGATGTAACAACTTTTGTCATACCATGTTTGATGTTGCTTTGAGAGGAACAAAATTCTTTTTGGGGATGACTTTCTGTAACTAAACAATTAGTTTTTTATTTTTTTGATAAAATGTAACAAAACAATTGGTTGAGGTTTAACCAGAGGTTATCTTAATGTTTTATTAGATCCAAGGTTATAGAAGATAATGATCACTTCGCACCAGAATGGCACAATAATTTGTCTCAATTTCTCTGGTTAGAGAAGATAAGAATTAATAGTGGCATAGTAAGGATAAACGCAAATTTCGAATCCCTTGTTACCCAACATTATAATCAAAAATTAAAAACAATGAGGAAAAATTATATTTAGGGTTTTATTTGGCCAAAAGGAGAAAAGAGAAGGAGATAAGATCGCTTCCCCTTTCTTAATAAGACAAAAGTTGTTAAATAAGACAAAATTTTGTACTAAAAGTAAAACCATAAGCCACATAATTAATAGAATAAAAACAAGGATTAGTTAGCGGCATGATGGGCAAAAACAGTGTATTCCTTTTTTTTTTTTATGGTAAAAGGAGATAGTGATTAGTTAGTAGCATAGTGGACACAATAAAGCTCGTAATTTTGGTGTTTATATTAATATTATCTCTAATTAGATTTAGTTTTCTCCATTTGAATTTTACATAAAGTTTAACTTAATAATTTTATATAATAAATAAATGATAATTTAAAATTTTCTTATCTAAAAAAAAATATTCAATTATACCATGTATAAAAAGAAAAAAAAACTTTCAATTGTCATTTATTTACGATACAAATTAAATTATTTAATCAAACTTGATGTAAAAGTCAAATTGAAACAATTAAATCCAACAAGAAAGAGTACTATACTGTATATTTATAATAAATATAGGATAAAGTTGAAATTTTTGTCCTATTTTTATCTTTGGACAATTTCAATTATAGAAGTTATTAATATTTGAGACTTAAGTCTATAGTAGAAATTTGTTGAACTCTATCTTCAATTTATTTTTATTAAGAGCTTGCAAATTATCTCGTTTGGTGAATAAGCCTTGTAATTGAGTTCAAGCTCAAGAGGGGGTTTAAAAGCAAATCATCTATATTACCTTTTCTATTATACTATAAAACTTGATATTAAAATTAATTGAATTTGAACTCAAATATGAATTTGAATGTTTTGTTTGATGAGTGGAGATCAAATTAAGCACAAATTCTACTATTTTCTTGATGAGTCCAATTTGAGCTTGGAAAGTAAAACTTGAATTGAGCTTAAGCTCAAAATTCTTGAACAAGTCCTGCTTGAGTCTGATTGTTTTTGAGCTGTCCTCGGCTACTTTTGACAATGAACATTTATTTGGTTTAAGAACTTCATTTATAAATTATAGACGTTTTTTGGTGCAACAAATTTATCTTACACTTCAAGGGTTCTTAGACAATTTGTAACCCCATTATTAAATCCTTAGGTTAGTAGATTTCATAATCTGTAATTCTATAAAGAAGCACATAATAATGACTTTTTTTTTTAGCAAATAGAAATTGTATTAATTAAAAAAAAAAAAGAGGTACAAGAGATGCTCCAATACACAATACATCTATTCAAATCATGAAAAAAACAATAAGCACAAAAATCAAGAACAAATTCTAATCCATTAATTATAATTTTTTATCACAAAATATAAAATTACGTTACCCTTGCCAAAAATCAGACGGGGTTTTGACTACATTACCAGAGAAAAAAAGGTTAATTTTTTTCATGAGAAATCATTTTTATCCCACTTTCTTGGACGTAAAAAGTTTTTATTTATTTATTTATTTATTGTTGTAACGTTTCCACATCAGTTTTAGTGTAATTAATCCCTCTTCAGTTTATCATAATAGTGTATGTTTATATTGGTGTAGTGTCTTTAATTATTTAAATAAATTAAATTTTTAGAATTTTAATATCAAAATTTAAATTCTAAACTTCACTTAGAAAATCACACTTATTTGTTAATAGATTTAACTTTTAGGGTTGAAAATAATAATATGAAGAAGTTAAATACATTAATTAATAAGTTATATGACATAAAAGTAGATATCATAATTAATTTATTGTATCAAATAAAGTAATTTAAATATATTTATTTAAGATGAAAAAATTCAATAACTTAAGTAGTTCAACATTAATCTCATGTATGATTAAATCTAAAAAATTATTTAAAATATGTTTCAACTAAATCTCTTCCAAAT